TTGTTCAAACACAATTTTAAACTGTATTTCTATTATCTTAGTAGAAACTCTCACTTCGACCTAATTTGAGATAAAAGAATTTGTCAACATTTATTACTTTGTACAAATTATTGGCTTTGCTACCTCTTACATCAAAACTCTACCTACCAAATGCAGTCACTCCTAAATTTCCTTACTAGTGCTTCACAGTCTAAAATTTTAAAGTATTAATAGATCCTGGTAGTAAAACTTATATGAGAATTTTAGAGAATTGAATTCTCACTGAATCTGTAACAATATAAATATTTTGAATCAAAGGCTATACGAGTAGCTAAAAATCTAAACTCCAAAAAACAAAAGGTTTACATAATGAGGTGAAGATAATTGTTTTACTCTTTTGTGCAATAGTGTTCTATGATCATTTGACTTCTGCCCATAACTCTAGGAAGACTACCAATCATGCACCCAGTGTTGGAGCACCTGATGTGTGAAGCATATATTAACAGGCCTGAGGGAAAAATAGATAGGAATACAGTAATTGTCAGGGGCCTTAACCTCCTGCTTTCAACAATGGAGAGATTAACAGACAGAAAACCAGTGGGGAAACATTGGACTTAAGCCATAATGTTAAATGAGATGGACCTGATAGACATACAGTATATCCCATCCAACAAAGTTATATACATTCTTCTCAAGTGCACATGGAAAAGCCGTTACAATAGCTGGTATTAGGCCACAGAACACGACTTAATCAATTTAAGAGGATTGAAATAATATCAAACATCTTTTCTAACCACAAGTGGTATGATCCTTGACATCAATTACAGGAAGAAAACTGTAATATTCACAGATATGTGTAAATTAAACAACATTCTCCTGAATCACCAGTAGGTCAAAGAAGAAATCAGAAGGGTAACAAAAAAAATACCTTCAGACAAATGGGAATGGAGACACAACATTCTAAAATTTATGGGATGCAGTAAAAGTAGTTCTAAGAGAGAAGTTTATAGCAATAAACACCTACATTAAGAAAAAAGGGAGATCTAAAATAAAACAACCCAACTTTACACATAAAAGACATAGGGAAAGAAGGACAAACTAAGCATAAAATTAGTAAAAGGCAGGAAATAATAAATTTCAGAGTGAAAACAAATGAAATAGAAACTAAACAGGTAGTAGAAAAGATCAATGCAACTGAGAGCTTTTTTTTTTGTAAACAGACAAAATAGACAAACCTGTGGTTACATCAACGTAAAACATTTTTGCACAGCAAAGGAAAACACCAACAAAATAAAAGGACAACCCACAAAATGGGAGAACATATTCACCAATACATCTGATAAGTGAGTGGTTAATATCCAAAATTTATAAAGAACTTACAAGACTCAATACCAAAAAATTACAACCCAATTAAAAAATGGGCAAAGGACCTAATTAGGCACTTCTCCGGAGGACATACAGAAGGCCAAAAAGACATATCAGAAGATGCTCAATGTCATTAATCATCAGAGAAATGCAAGTTAAAACCACAATCAGTTATCATCTCACACTTGTCAGAATGGTTATCATCACTTAATCAGAAAACAGCTGCTGGTGAGGATGTTGAGAAAGGAGAACGCTTTGCACTGTTGGTGGGAATGCAGATTGGTGCAGCCACTGTGGAAAGCAGTGTGGAGACACCTCAGAAAGTTAAAAATGGATCTGCCTTTTGACCCAGTGATCCCACTTCTGGCAATATATCCAAAGGAAATCAAAACACTAATTCAAAAGAACATAAGCACCCTTGTGTTCATTGGAGCGTTATTTATAATCGCCAAGATATGGAAGCAGCCCAGGTGTTTATCTGTAGATGAGTGGATAAAAACAGCTATGGGTCATCATGCAATGGAACACTATTTAACTATAAAAAAAAAAAGAAAATATTACCATCTGGAACAGAGTGGATGGAAACTGGAGAACATTATGTTAAGTGAAATAAGCCAGTCAGAGAAAGAGAAATACCATATGATCTCACTCATATGTGGAATCTAATGAACAAACCAAACTAACAAGAAAATAGAGACAGACTCAAAGATAGAGCAGGCTGACAACTAAGGGTGGGGGGGGGGTAGGGAGTGGAGGGATTGGGCAAAAAGGAAAAAGGACTCACGGACAAGGACAATGACGTGATTTGGGGGGTGAGGGAGTATAAGAGGACTGAATGGTAATGGAAAAAATACAGTAAAAAATTTAATGTATTGCTGGATGACATCTGTCAATATTTTGTTAATGATTTTAGCATCTATGTTCATCAGCAATATTGGCCTATAGTTTTCTTTCTTTCTTGTGTCTTTATCTGGTTTGGGGTTTAGGATGATGCTGGCCTCATAGAAAGAGTTTGGGAGTCTTCCCTCTCCTTACATTTTTTGGAATAGACTGAGAAGGATAGGGGTTAGCTATTCCTTAAATATTTTTTAAAATTCTTCTGTGTAACCTTCTGGTCCAGGGCTTTTGTGTGATGGGAGTTTTTTTATTGCTGCTTCAATTTCGTCAGCTGTTAACTGTTACCAGTCTGTTCAGACTTTCTGCTTCTTCTTGATTCAGTTGTGGAAGATTATATTTTCTATAAATTTGTCCATTTCACCCAGGTTTTCAAATTTCTTGTCATATACTTGTTCATAGAAATTTCTTGTAGTCCTTTGTATTTCTGTGGTATCAGTTGTAATCTCTCCTCTTCATTTCTGATCGTGTTTATCTGGGTCCTCTTTCTCTTTTTTTTTTGATGAGTCTGGTTAAAGGCTTGTTGGTTTTGTTTATCTTTTCAAAGAATCTGCTCCTGGATTTGTTGATCCTGAGAATTGTGCTTTTTGTCTCCATGTCATTTAATTCTGCTCTGATGATGGTTATTTCCTTCCTTCTGCTAGCTCTGGGCTTTGTTTGTTGTTGTTCCTCCATTTCTTGTAGATGTAGGGTTAGGTCACTCCATTAAAATGTAATCTTTAAGAAACATTGTGCTCCTATCCCTTCAGTCTCTGAAGGATGAGGATAGGAGCCTAAGCACCAATTAGCAAACCTTTATGACCAAGCCACTTTGACCAGCCTCCCCTAATGTCCTGCACTACTTTTGACTGGCTCACTCCCAGTGTTTAAAAGCTTTGTTTCAGTGGAGTAGAGTTTAATCCCTCTCCCCTGTTGCACTGGTCTTGAATACTTTCTTCAAGACAGTATTCCTTGTCTTGAAGGCCTTTGTCTTTCAACTTCCTTGTCTTTTTAACTTGTGCAGTGCATTTTCTCTTTGGCTGACTGAGAGTAAAATTCTGGAGTCAGACTCTGGCTCCATTTTACTGCACAAGTCAAAGAGTCTCACTAAGCTTCAGTTTGCATGACTAAACTGGAGATGCTGGTACCTACGTGCAGGATTCCTGTGCGGATGGTGTGGGTTAATGAATGTAAAGGTCTTGGCATGTTCTGAGGTGTATTAGGTACTCCATGAAGTTTCAGTCTCATCTTTTTGGCCAATGACTACATGAAAAGCTTCCTGATAGCTTTTTTTCCTCCCTCCCTCCCTCCCTCCCTCCCTCCCCTCCCCCCCCCCCCCTCCCTTCCTTCCTCCTCCTCCCCTTCCTTCCTTCCTTCCTTCCTCTGTAGTGTATTTGCTATATGTTTCTGTTTGCTAAATTACCCATATGTACATTTCCGGGATCTATTTTGTAAAGTGAAATCTATTAATTTAGTTCTTGAAATAGATAAAGATAAAAGTGCATCATAAATAGTGAAAGCAAGAAACCAGTTATGCATCGGGCCCTGAAGACTGGTGCAGAGCGCAGGGGTCAGTTACCACTGAGACCGTGCGAGAAACGGCACCTGTGGGCGGGAGCGGCCGAGCCGCTGTGCTGTGTCTGCAGACACGCCAGCAAGCTGCATTCTGCAGCAAATGAAGAAAACTCTGTGCTGTTTATATTTTGAAGTTGAAAACACCTCCTACTTAGGTTTTCCTAAAACCAAAAACTTAAGCTAACATTCAAATACTAAATTTCCTTTTAATGGATATTTTAAAATGCAAGTTGTCTCTCAGTACTACTCTGCTGTTTTGTAGCTACATCATGAAATGTCTCAATCCCTAAATTTCAAAGAAACAACACATTTTAAAAGTTGAAACTGCTTTCATTTGGGAAGGAGCACGGTAGCATATCATTGGGAACTACTGCCCTTCTACTGCTTGTCCGAGTAAGTGTCCGGGCAGAGCGGCGCCCCCATTCAGCGTATGCTTTCTCTGTGACACTGCTTCTCCCTCCTCCTCCTCCAGGGCAATCAGAGAGAGACTCACTTGGATTACCTCCTGACTTTTAACAGTTTATATTCTGTTTGGAAACCCTGCTTGCAGTTCCGACTGATTTAGAAAGGCAACAGTGATGGTACGGACCCGTCTGAGAGGCCGAGTCCTGCACTGATGTTCCGTTCTTCAATGCAGACAGCGGGCTCGTGTTTTTTTAAAGGGTCATTACCTCTTACAGTCTCTTCACTCTAAGAGACTCTAAGAGTCTTACCTCTATTGGAGTCTCTTCCAATACAGGAAGTATTTTTATACTTCCTGTTAATAGGGGCTCCTGTAACTTTCGGTTTATACTTTCCCATTGTTTGCTCTCCTCTCCCCCTGCTTGAAACAATTCTGTTACTGGGAGGGAGTTACAAGAAAAGGCAGAACCTCATAGGCTGTATGAGTATAGATAAAAAGACATGTGGTTTATAGCTGTCTAGATACCCACTTGGAGGGAAAGGAATTTGGGAGGAAAATAAAAAGACTGAAAATCCAAGTCAACTCAGAAAGAAACACGATATGCCTGTGATGAAGTAATGCTTCAGGTTGGGAAGTTAGTTGTTATGGCCCCAACTTGTATATATTTTATGCTAAAGTGCCGTTTGGTTTAATAAAATGAAGATCTAGGGCTGCCCTTAACCTAACAGTTTCTTAAGACTTAATTATAAAGGCTATGTCTTGAGAGGACAAAAGCATTATTCATTTGTCTGTTCATGTCTTCCAGGTTTATCTTGCAGACTATGGACTTGCCTACAGGTATTGTCCCAATGGGAACCACAAACAGTATCAGGAAAATCCCAGGAAAGGCCACAACGGGACCATGGAGTTTACTAGCTTGGATGCCCACAAGGGAGTAGGTAAGTTTCTCTTCTCTTTTTCCTATTTTTATTTCACAAGAATAGTTAAAAGAGTAATAGGACTCCCTGAAGTGACCTTCGCATAGTCCCTTTGGCGAGTGAGAGCACTGGTGAGATTTTTATCAAAAGGAGTGAGTTCCTGTGTGCCAGTGAATATTCGTGTTAACCTGGAGGAGGGACAGACTGTGGAAAGTGAAACAAAGCAAAAAGGGTGTCAAGAAAGCAAAGCTGGATGCGCATTTTGGGCAGGAAATTACTAGTTTGTGTAGGTTCAACCTGGAGGTCAGACACTGGGTTTTTCTGCTATAGTGAACATCAGAGGTTTGGCAAAGGCGCGCTCATGAAAACTTGCTCCTGTTTTTTATTGTGCCCTTATCAGTTTTTTATTGTGCCCTTATCAGAGGCTTGGGAGACACCACCTCTCAACACGAAGAAAACCTTTTCTGAAACTATAAAGTGTTAACTTGTGGAAATCTCTCCTAGTCTCTTTTCATATATCTTACTTATTTAAACTCACTTTGATGGTATTGGAAACACATTTGCAGGTAAATTACATACATAGTCCTTTTATTGGATATTGATTGTACTGCCTTGCATTCCAAGGCAGACTTAATTCAACAATTCCCTAATTAGTTAAAGTCATAACCTATGTCTTGTATTCATTTACCATTAATTAAACCTTAGCTGTTTATTACACTGCAGTCCAAATCCGATAGCCGACCCAGAAAGCCATGGAAAAGGAAGTGGGAGGTCAATATTGAAAATATATGGCACGGAGTCCCACTGATGGTTGCTTTGTTCCCAATCAATATGGTCAATGCAACTGTACTTTCTTAGTTGCTCTGTCAGCAAGACAAAAAGTCAATTCTAATGTTATGCTAGTAAAAAAGGTGATTATTGAAAAACTTTGGTTTTCAAAATTATATTTTTTAAACTTTGTTTATAAAAGTATTTTCAAATATGTGAAACCATACAGATCATTTTAAACAGCTTTGAAAGAATCACTTTCTCAATAAAAGGCAGTTGGACATTTGTGCTTGTTAATGACTGTTGAAGGGTTACCCTAGATGGAGACTTTTTAACAAGTTTTACTTGGTGCAAACAACTGTAATATTGTTGCTTTTCCTATTAAAAGGACCACTGGCCATGTAATGTGGAGGGTCTCGATAATTTTCCAGAGCAATTAAAACCCACCCTAGTTTAAGGGAGGCCAGTGAAAAAGTGAGACAAGTGCAGGTGTGTCAGTTGTATACTTCCTTCCGGGAAGAATCATGGATTAAATTTTCTAAAATGGAAATTAGCTTTTGTACTTTGGATTAGAGGAGAAGAAATTGCTATATTACTTTTCAAGGATAGTTTGGTTAGAAAAGTAATGATCACTCAAGTTAAGAGTGTGTGTTTTTGCACCGTGTACATTGTTGATGAATCAGTGAGCATTTAAAGATATAAACAGGACATGGCTTTAATTAAGTTTGAAATGTAGGAATCAAATGCTCATTGATACTGGGTGCTTGTTCATTTTAAAGTTCTTTTACTGGCAGTGAATTTTGTTCTTCACTTCTGCCAGATTTATTAGTATAAAAGAATTTTCAGAAACCCGGGAGTACTTTTTTGCTAGTGGTGTAACTGGAAATTATAGATTCTTAAGCATCTGTCTGGTTATGTTAACTTATATTTGGGCCACTATTTCAGCTGGTAGGTCTAATCCTGATACCCTGTGGTTTTGACTATTAAAACAGCTAAGAAACCAGTGTGAGTGTTGAGTGGGAAGATGAGATTTTACTTATTAGTCTGGTCAGTGATTGAACTGTGGTAATTCTGAAAGTCCTCTCCAGTTATTCCATAGTTTAGGGCAGTGTTTAATGTGCTGTCTTCATAAAACATTTGAACACATTTTTACTCTGTAGTCCACTTAAGTTGTTCCCCCCACACCCCAAGTAATAACGCATGTCGTGAACGGTACAGATCCACCATGTGCATCTTCGCAGGGGAGGATCCAGCTGAAAGTGCCGGGAGGAAGATGCTGCGTCCTAGGAGGGGTGTTCAGGGACGAGCCTTCCTGCAAACGTTTGGTGCTTGTCGAACAGTTATATGCTGGAGTAAATATTCATTTTTATAGGTGTCATAGGAGTCCTATAAAGATTACTATATACGTAGCTGCATGTATATATATATATAAGCATATATATACGTATACATACACACACATACACACACACTCAGCTTTTAATATTCAGTTTTAGTCTGGTATATAAAGTAAAAGGTTTTATGTCCTCAGATATTTGAACTCATTCCTAATATTTTGCATTTACTTTTCCAAAATAAAACATTCCACTTTAGACTTTTATTAGAAGTGAAATAATTATTTAGCTATATCTAGAAACCAGAATAAGCAGGGCCATGAATCCTGTACATTAACGCAGAAGGTCAGATTTATACATATTTATGTGTTGACTTTCAGTCTAGTCATTATGTAGTTTAATCTTAGAAAATTCTTTTTTATACCAGTCCAACTAAGAGATCAAAAAATACTTAGAAAGATAATGCAAAGAAAAACATAAAGAACACAACAAGTTATTACTCGGAAACGGACCCTCAGGTTGTTGAGGCAGTCGGTGTGTGTCGGGGATGTGTGTCCCATCAGGCCCCGGGGAGTGAGTGTTCAGGCCGCAGTGGGAAACCGGTTTACGAATTAGCTGTTTCACCGAGACCATTAACCTGATCAGACTATGTGGTCTCTGCCCCTTTGGTCGTGGTTATTCACAAACCATAGCTAACTTTCATTTTTCTGTGGATTAGTTGTTTTTTTATGATGGAGATTGTATTAGGTGCCAATTGGCAGTTTCACCTAAGCGTTTTCTAGTTCAACTTTATGTAAAAATAGGATTACTTGTATTATTACAAACCGAAGAAATACATAGAGATGGATGGCTAGATTGACAGATGAATTGGTAAATATTCCTGAACTATCATGTACATGTATATCTGTATTTTTTTTTAAATTGCAGTTACTCTTTCAAACTTAATTTTCTTGTATGATCCAAAGGTATTTTCTCAGTGGCTAAAGTTCTTCATTTAGTGTAAAATTAGTGTGATATATGTTGGGCTTATCTCTTTTATTATTAATTTTTCATTCTTCATAAAAACTAACATGTATAAACATTGACATATTTTGGGCTCATTGCCTAATAATTAAAGAGAATTATATCTGTGTCAAATATACTATTTTAAAATTTGTTACATTCTTAGTAATGTTAAAAAAGCAATGTTTGGATCAATGTGTGGTATGGATTTTTGTAGATTTTTCTACTCACTGAGGCATGCAGTCAATACCTAATTTCTCTAGAGATTCACTGCATTTAACATATTGAGCTTTTTTAAATACTTCAGACCTGTGCATTGAGTGTATAATACCTGTTTTAATTTGACATCATTGATGACCATAAAATATGATGTCTAAACTGCATTTTAAATGTCTGTTTATTTATGTAATATATTCAGTATCAAGGAAAGATATATTACATACTTTTTTATTTTTGCCAATTGCTATCGTATATGAAATCCAAGTCTTGTGTTATTTCTTGCATGGTTTCATTTCACTCTAATTTAGCACTCCAACTTACCAAATATATGTGAAATAAACTGAGAATGTATTTTCATGTTACCAAACTTGCAGAAGTGACATGGTTTACACAAAATTTATCCTCTCAAACAATGATTCAAAACAGGAGCCCATTTTCAATAAGATGTCAAGGAAAACCATCAAGCTATTGATATGCTCTGTTCGATCTGTTACTAATCAGAAAAAAAATACTGTTGATTTCTATTTTTAGGTAAATTTGACTGCTGTAAATAGTCTATGGTTGATGTGTTTCTAAACAATAGTGAACATACTATTTCTTCTCCATGGCATGACCCAATTTTCACATTTATTTTTTAAGGGTGATTTTATTTTTTATTAAAGATTTTATTTATTTTTAGAGAGAGGGACAAGAGGGAAAAAGGAAGGGAGAGAAGTATCAAGTGTGTGGTTGCCTCCCACACTCCCCAATTGAGGGCCTGGCCCAACACCCAGGCATGTGCCCTGACTGGGAATCGAAAATGTTTGCAGTCTGTGCTCAGTCCACTGAGCCACAACACCCAGGCCCAATTTTGACATTTAGACATGACTTTTAAAGTCATAACATAGGTGGGACTGTTTGGTTGGGTTAAGAATACACATTGGCCAAATGTAAGATACCTTTACTTTTGCTCTATTGAATTAATTTTTTCTAAGCCTTCACTATAGTGTTTCAAAAAAAAAAAAAAACCAACCCAAAACAAAACTAAGGCTTAGAATTTAAAAGGCACAGAAAAAATGAGGGAGACCTGGGTTTAATATTTTATTTGCAGTGTCATGCACTGCAATCTCTTTTTTTAGTAACCTTTTTGAATTTGCAAAAATTTATTGCCACTATAACATTTTCCAGCATTTTACACATCTGAATTTACAAAATACAAACATAGGTTAGTAGTTAGAAAAATAAAACTAAGTTGAAGTTTGTTTTACATATAGTCCCCTTCAGTTGATCAGGTGAGCATCTTACTCAGATGTTTCTGCTTTCTTATTGTCATTTCTGAGCATATAAACTAGTATCCGGGACCTTTAAACTCTGCTTGAGGCAAAAGTTTTCAGGTTCACTTTATTATTTCCTACCAAACTTGTTTTTGTTCACACTTCATAATGTTACTCTGTATAACAAATAAAACTAAACAGAAAAAACTTTAGGCAAATAATCAGCCCATTTTGGGATTAACACGTGCACTTTTTTCCTTTTCTCCCAATCTCTTTTATTCCATTTGATGAATGAGGCCCAGGTGATTTCGCACGGGTTTGTTTTTAGAATAAGGACCAGTTCTCTAAGGTAGCTCCTCTGTAGTTCTTGTACCAGCTTCGGAGGACTATTTACCACTTTGTGAATTAACATTTAACTAGACACCCTTCTTCAGCAGAGTGAAGTAGTTTGAAAGAAATAGTACCTTGAAAGGATAGTTGCATAACAAAATTTGTTAATGCTGCAGCTTGGACCTCAGGATCTGCTGCTTGTTTGTTCCTTACCAAAAGAACTCTCTTTGAGTGAGTATATCTTTCGGTATTTTAAATTAAAATGACTTCGAATAATTCCCTAACTATAGAAGTAGTATGTGTAATGTTGTTTAAATGATGTTAAAAGTAATGATGGAGGCAAAGTAATTATTAAGAGTGTGGGCTTTGGGTTTGAAAGACGGATTTCAATGCAGAGCTCTGTCGGTTTCTGCTCTGTGATACTGAGCAAATTATTTAACCTCTCTGAGCCTCTATTTTCTTACTTGTCAACAGGGTTAATAATACTTACCTTCTATTGTTAGGATGATTAAATGAGATAATATAAAAGTAGTTAAAGAGTGTCTGGCCCAGCAGCTCCATAAAGCACATCAGTTGTTTTTATTTTAATGATGCATTTCAGTGTCAATTGTTCCTGTAATCTGCTTGCTAGTAAAATAGAACAAATAGAACTCAAGTTCCCACCAGTGCCTTTTTTTTTTAATCATTGTTACTCTTAGCAATCCTGTACAATTTAGAAATGTTGAGCAGTCGAGAAAAACACAGGCTTTCCATGAAAAGAGTCATTTACCTTGCCCCATATTAATAAGCTAAATAAAAGTTAGATGCTAAATTGTACTTGGAAACGAACAGGAAAGTATAGAAGACAAATATTAATAACTAAATTCTGCTACATTCCAAAAGCACTATAAATAATAGTTTGGTTTCTTTAGGAAGTCTATATGAAAACACACCATTAACAATTGCATTAACTACCACATGTAACTGAAGAACCCTGTGTAAGAGTGTGGCGATTGTGGGGGAGGGGGATGGGAGCCGGTGGGGGAGGGCGTGGGGGGTCAGTGGTGGTGGGAAAAAACAATACAATAAAAAGTAAATGAACAAAGGAATACAAATACAAATTATATAGAAACAAAAGAATCCATAATATATTTCAGCTTTCAAATTTAAAAAATATTTTTTATACTTAGATATTAATAATCCTCTTCAACTATAATCAATTCATTTTATTTTTAGCATTTTATTTCTTTTGAAATACAAAGGAAATACGTAGAATAATGTAGTAAATGTCAAAATATCATTTCCTAGATTCAATAATTATTATTTTTAATGTCTATATTTTGATGTATCTTAAAGTCACTTAAAGATATATAGGGTCAATTCATTGTGTTATTTACATACTACCTAGAGTATTTATTTTTTATTTTTTAAAATATTTATTTATTTTTAGAGAGAGGGGAATGGAAGGAGAAAGAGTGGGAGAGAAACATCAGTGTGTGGTTGCCTCTCATGTGTCCCCTACTGGGGACCTGGCCTGCAACCCAGGCATGTGCCTTGACTGGGAATCGAACCCACGACCCTTTGCTTCACAGGCCCGTGCTCAGTCTGCTGAGCTACACCAGCCAGAGCTAGAGTATTTATTTTTAATTAAATTAACAGGCATTAAAGTCACTTTTCTGTGTACAATAGGTGGAAAGAAGATATAATAACTCTTAGTGGAATCTCAGCGTTCGACTTCACTAAAGCACATCAAACTCCATAATCTGTTTTCCTAGGGGGAATTTCAGGCAGCATGTGTATTTAGAAATCTTTTAGTACACCTGTCTTACCCTTTGATGATGGAAAAGGGTAACTATAGGATGTTTTAAAACGTCACATGTATTTCTGTTGAACTTAATGGAAACAGTGGTAAAACTCTTGCCTAACCATAGTCATCAATGTATACATACAGTAAAAGAAAATAAGTAAAAAGTTGAAAATGTGATAATGTATTTTAATTAGGTAAGACCAAACCATGATAGTGAAGGAAAGTTAACTCTCAAAGGGCTGTTTGAAATGAAGACCAGTTTATGAAAGATTGGCTTCAGAAATCTAAATGACTTGTCATTACAGCGGCTTCCTATCAATTAATCCCTCAGTTGGAGGGTGGGGGGAAGTGACTGGAAAGGTTCATTCCATTTTAATTCTTGATTGTTTTTCCTCAGAGAGCCTCTTGCGTGAAGCCTGTGACATCCAAACAGGTGCCAGAGTAGAATTTTTTGAAAATTGGAGGATGTGAATTTTCTTAAGTGGTGCTAATCAGGAATTGCCATAGTGGAAAAGGGACTTGTGAGCACATCTGTACGAACGGAACCATTCCATTATTAATGGGAGATTTATTACTGAAGAAATCACTACCAAACAGTGTGCTAGCGATTGTGTTTTTATTTTCATACGAGAGCCAGCGCCTGCATTAGGACCTCGCCGAAGCCTGTGCAGCAAGCAGACGGCCCCCAGGGGACTGAAGCATTCTGCTAGACTGAAGGGCCTTTCATAATCCGATACTCCAATAGCAGTTAAGATGGAGTATGTGTAAGGGCTAACTTTGTCTTCTATACTAGCTCATGTATGGTAACCAAAGTAGTTGTGACGTGCTAGGAGCATTGTTCTCGGGTAACTTTTAAAAATAAAAAACAAGTTACTGAGTGGTGTTTCGGACTTTGTTTAATGAGAGATAATAAAACAGGATCCCTGCTCACAGCACGTGTAACCGCCACAGATGACACTTAGGAGATCGTATGTCCCTGCACAGATGAGCATTCAAATGATGGTAGAAACGTGAATACCAACCTATTGTCTTGTAACAATTTGGAATGGTTATAAACATGAGTTCATTTTGTGGGATTTTGTTCATGTTTTAATTATTACTTCAATAATATTTGACATGTTTGTTATATTTCATTGCCCATCTTTTGGAACAAGCCACTTTAAAAAAACAAAATAAAATTATGATGGAACTAGTCTATAGCATTTAGTAGTTTGATCTAAAGGATATTTGCTGTGGCCTGAAAATGTTATTTCACTGCATCGTATATGAAAAGCCATCTCGTACATGCTGAAAGCCTCTCTTTGGCTTCCAGATCAGATCGACTTCCCAGCTCCTCGCCCACACTCCCGGGCACAGCCTTGCCTCATCCTGACAGTTCCTGTTCAGGATATTTGATCAGAATCTTAGTGCCGCACTGTTTATATCTAAAATCAGTGTCTGTAGAAGTTTAGAACCCTGCACCTAAAATAGTAGGTGTATTTTGTCCTGTACTTTCATTAATTAAAAAATATCTTCAGAGAGACCTGCGTTTTAATCCTGCACACTAGATGGCAGTTTTGTCATATTCTTCCAACCTCAGCTGCTGCCAGTGTGAGTGGAGCAGAAAAGGCCATCAGTGTTTAGTCTGCACTCACGGGGTCTCTGCATGACCAATGCGGACCCCGTGGGCTTCCTGGAACATATGTTAGCAATTTAGCTGCAGACATTTATTTCTTTGTTTTACTGCTTGGCTCTTTGAGAAAGTGTTGGTGCCAGGTTATGGGTTGTCTGGATCATGTCAGAGGCCATGGAGATCAAGTTCATGTGACAGGCTAGACTAAGGAAGGATGAAGTCGGAGGAGGTGAGGAAACTGACCCTTACTTTCAACAGCAACAAGTCACTGCCTGTCTGTGGACTGGAGCCAAACGCCTCGCACTTAAGTTTTACTCCAGCTGAACAAACAAAACACGTTGCCCATTTGGCTTTTTCATATTTCATCAATAATAGTGAAATCAGTGATTTCTCTGTTTCTCAAAACTTTCTTATCCCTCATCTTGCTCTCCTAATGCTTACTCCTACAGCCCTGTCCAGACGGAGTGACCTGGAAATCCTCGGCTACTGCCTGCTGCGCTGGCTGTGCGGGCGGCTGCCCTGGGACGCGTGCCTGCAGGACCCCGCGGCCGTGCAGACGGCTAAAACGAAGTACGGAGTTTCGGTGTTCCACCACGGGCAGCGCGGGTCCGAGGGCGTCGCTGCGGGGAGTCAGTACCCCGGGGAGGGTACCGTGTACCGACGTGATGACCAAAGCACATTTCTTAAATTTGAAAAGCAGTATTTACCAAACCGAACAGCTTACAGATGAAAAATCCATTAAGATAACAACTATGAAATCACATGTATGTGAGTTGTAATAGAAACTATAAAGTGAAATCGTTGTTCCTTTAGATGGTGTTCTCCAGAGCTTAGATTCTAGGTGGTGGTAGTTTCAAGGAAGAGTGTTCTCAAATAAGTATTGTGTAAGTGTAGGTAGGTAGTCTGAGCCCTGTCTGACTATTAACTGGGCAATGCAGCAAGTGGAATGGGGCAAACACGGCCTGCATTTTTCAAGTGAGAGTAACATGGCTCTTTCTTAATCCTGTGTCTTGAAGAGAGTATATTTTGTTTCTGAAAGGAGAAACAAACAAAAATTTTATATGACGTGTTTATAGGGAAGATAATTTTGCGAGTCATATAAACATTTTTAATATTTCACATTCAATTTTTCTCAGCTAGAATGTGTTAGCATGAAAATTAGGTCAGACCGAGAACAGAGCATGTTACTATTTTACTATTTTCTCACTGATCAGGCCTAAGAAAAAGTCAATTGCATGTAGCACACAATTGCCGTTTTTTATTATATAGCAATATATGTGCAACAGTAGTTATCCACAGATATAACACCGCAACTGGAAAGGCAGCTATGTTTTAAGTGGGGCATGTTATGACAGAAGTTCACAAAGGGGGCAGCTGAGTCAGAGAAAGCAAGCTTCAGATTCAGTGTGGCACAGGTTCTCAGCAGAAAGAAAAGCCAGCCTGCAGATGCAGGATAGTACAGACTGCATCGTAAATACTGACATATGAATATTATATGAAATACTTCTGCACTTGGAATGTAGATCATCCCAGTCCCCCACCCAAAATGAACACATTTATTTAAGTCAATATTAGAACCATCTAATCAGTTACAGCACTGGTCGATGTGTCCATATTAACCCCCATGGAACTGACATTTTTTAATATGTGGGTCAAATCAAAGCACAGTAATGGGCACCTATGAGCAGTCTCAGTATCCAGTTTTCCACCTCAGTTTACTGAATTTGAATAAGGTACTTTATTTCAAAGATTAGTATTTTAATTCTAATGATTATATGTGTTTTTTTCTTATTAAGATTTACTAATATGATTTTAGATTTTTTTATCAGTATGCATATATAGATGCGTTCATTGTTGATATCTTTAATATGCCTATGTGTACATTCAAATTTAATAATAGGGGATCATATAAAATAATACACTATACTGCTAATAAATATAATCTCTTTACATTTTGGGGAGCCTTACATATGTTATCTTCATTTTGATTTTATTACTAGTAAAAACCTATAGGTCAGTAAAGCTAATATATTATGAAATGTACAATTAAGGTAAACTGTAGACATTTTCGAACTTCTCAGAGTGTGTAATACATAGTTATAATTTATTTCCCTTGCTGAGAAGGCATACACTGAATGTCCCATTAGGGCGGGCTTGCATATTCAGCCATGACACCATATCTCCCTCATACCCTTTATTTTCCTGATGTACGGTGGTCTTAGATCAGAGCATTTCTTGTTGCAGTTCTGCCTGCGCCTGAGTTTATGACTCAGACATTCATATCAGTAATTTTAGTTGACTGTTTACGTATTCGTGGCTGAAGCAATTTAAGAGAGTTATCCTTCTTCCATGTAAAACACTGAGAATTGGTAGAATAATGGGGCATTTTTTGTTTTGGTAGAATAATGGGGCATTTTTTGTTTTGTCTTTTGGATACTTCTTGTTAACCTGTTTAATTATAGGGTAGCATAAAACACTGCCCAGTGGTAGGTACTTGAGGGAAAATACTCTTAAAATCCAGGCACAGTTTTTCTATGTATTTATTTATGTTTTTAAGGAAAAAATTACGATATTGTTACTTCTACATTCCATATTTTACACATGTAAACTTTGAATTAAAGCATTTACTATTTAGTTTTAGGTGACTGATATGAAATTGGTCACTGAGAATTTTAACCTGTCCCCACCCCCACTTTCCATTTCACCATTGCCGGTGGGTGAAAAAAGTACTAAAAGTCACCAACACAGAATTTGAGTTTTGCTTTCTGATCAGCACGGTGGGTCACTGGAATGCAAACACAGTCATTGTGTGTTACTCTGTTTTGTTTCAGTCTGTTGGATGAGCTCCCCGAGTCAGTGCTGAAATGGGCTCCTTCCGGAAGCAGTTGCTGTAAGTCTGGATGGTAACTTTGACCTTCTCCGATGTACTTTGCAGGTCACCACATGTGTCACTCTCGTTTTGTGGCTGTTCAGTCCACCCCCTCCCATTCTGCAGGCATGGGAGGAAACTCTCCAGGGTTACACATAGGTTGCTAGAGCAGAAACTGGTTGGATCCTTTTTGACATTAGAATGAAAGAATTCTGCATAAAAATACTTAGATAGCTTTATGGGCTCTGCCTATTGGTTTTTTTTTTTTCTTTAGATATGGATTATGGGAATCATGCCCAGGTTAAATCGTCAGCTTTATCTGGTATTTCTAGAGTTGACTTTCTATCTTCATTTCTTCATATATTGTTGAAAGAAGATAACTCTGATCTAAGAAAAGACCACATTCAATTAGTAATTAAAAAAAAACCCAAATCATTAAACACTCGAATGCTATTCAGACCCCGGGTCACAGCACCAGAGTTTTGGATTGGCAAAGGCTCCTGGCGTTGGGATTTGGAGGTGTGCTTCATTGAATGGTTTTCCCTTTCAAGTTAGTATAGACCACTTCTGGAATTCTTTAATTGACAGTATTATTAGTAATAGTAGTAAGTTGACTGAGAACTACCGAAGTGCCTGTCATTTTCAGTGTGTGCTGGGTACAGCGAGTACCAGTGTAACAACTGGGTTACGTTGTCTCATGGAGAAGAGCCCCCTTTGGCTGTCACACTTGCTTTTTCTCAGACAGACAAGCAGAGTGAATCTTGTTCTTTATTTATATTGGCCAATCTCAAAGTTAGCTTTTAGCTGACTTATGAAAGTGAATAGGAACACTGACCCCTCTAGCTAAGGTCAAATAGTGTCAGTTCCCGTCTGAGAGTTTAAAAGAGTCAAAGCATCTCAAACTTATATTTATAGCCCTTCTCTGACAAGAAACAAAACTTTTCATTTTCGTAGGAAACAAGAACCAAGCAGACCTGCTTTCCATTCTCTAATCCCTGAGACCCTAAGTCTGCCTCCCCGTATCCTGCTGTCGCTTTTCTTCTGATGGAGTGGGGTGGACAGTAGCATGTTCTCATTTGGGGGGATGGGTGGAAAGATGGAAGCATTGCATTTTTTGTAACTGCACTGAGTAACTTGTTCCAAAGGCCAATATTCCCTTTTGACTAATATTCTTATTGGCATTTTACCGAGCCATATATTTTGTGTTTTACTTCAAAATAGAGCAAAAAGGGAGAGCTAGGGAGATGTCAGAATTTTTTTTTTAATTGTATAACTCCTTTCCCTTTCCTGTTCCTCTTGCACAAAAGGTAACTGTTCAGTTTCGGGTTAGAAAAGCATGCCCAGCTGTCCTGGGTCATACAAGACAAATGCCTGTGGGCCAGTGTGCATTCTGTGATACTTCTCTCGCTAGGGCTAGGGTAGGAGAAGAGGGGAGTGATACAGGAAATGGTGGGAGGAGTGCCAGGTTCCTCTTGTGCGGCACAAACCATTTGAGTCTATGGTATTATTTTATAAAATGAAGACTTCTTTTTCTAAAGCACAAAACGTTGAACCTTTAATAGTAACTGAAAGTCTCTTAATTTGGTCAGTTATGCTTAGGAGAATGGGTATTGTAAGCAGGGAAATTCTACTGATTTACAAAAGGTTTATTACTAAAACATTTTATAGAATGGCCAGGAAGTTGGCAGTGTGCAGGCTCAAATCAGTGTGATAATAGTAGTTTCAGAAGTTTCTGTGTCTTGAAATGACAGTTAATATTTCACTAACTTAAAAAGCAGATAATTTAGGAATATCACGATTGCATAGTAGTCAAAGTATTTTGTTTTATAGCTCTGGAAATGTGCTAGCAAATTTAAAAATGTACTTAAGAAGCCCAGATCTTGAAAGGCTAACATGGAAACCCATACTACATCCCAACAGCCTAAGCTTCAAGTTTACAGTAATAAATTTATAACACAGGTGGCTCTTTCCTTTTTCCCCCTCTCCTTCCCCACCGGGCCCTTGCTTTTTCAAGCCCCAGGCCCATGAAGGCTTTGCAGGACAGCTGCTCTCAGTTGGTGGAGTGCCGGAGTCTTCCATCGACACCCAGCAGTTACTTGTGAAAAGTGTTCCCAACGTGTTCAGCTCTGCTCTCCATTTGGGATATTTTGGTTAATCGAATTGCAATATATAGACCAGACTTGGCTTACCAATCTTGAAAGGCCCAAAGAACAAGAGAATATTTATATTAAAATAGTGGCAACTGTAATTTAACCTTTTTTTTTCTTGATTATCCCTTCAGGAATTGGATGCTCCTGAAAACATGAGTTATAAATGTGAAACCACAGCACTTGCTAATTAGTAGAAATCTGGTTGAGCAAATGCTAGATAACAGATTGTATATATCTTATACCTTAGAGAGGAAGAAAGGTTGTATAACTGCCACAGTATCCAAAACAAACAAACATGCAAAAAACCCTTGGAGCCAGGAGTTCTCATTTTAGTCACATTAGCCTAATGTTCCTAGAAAAATAGCTGTGGACAATATGGCGCATGACGGTCACTCTCTGACTGTCCCAGAGGAGACACAGGTGATGACTATTCCTGTTGGAATGTTTCCCCATGGGCAGTGAAACCCGGTTTCTCTGCATTTCCCCATTTGAATGGAGGTAGGCCTGGGGGTGGGGGGAAGGAGGGTTAGGACGTGGCTTCCGCCAGCCCACCAAGCTCCCCAGATTTTCTTAGCACAGGATAAAGGAAGAAGTACTTGTGTCTGGGTCAGTAGTAAGTTTTTTTGAAGGGAAGAGTCTTGTAAAGACTAGTTTGTGGAATATCTAAATGTCACCCTAAAGAAATTATATCACAACATTAAAAAAAAAATGAAAGCATGCCTATTTTTGTAAACAGCGTATGGTATTATCACTCTTACCTGAATTTCAGATTGCACCTTCATGAAACAAAAATGCAAAAACTACATTTGTTTTAAGGCTGCTATGTTTGTATCTTTGGGGTACTAATTCTACTTGTATTTAGAAGTTTGTAGTTTATACATTTTTTTGGTTGGGGGAGAGTTACTTTCTCATCCCTGTGCAGTGAGTCAGGAGGACGTCGGTGCCGTGGACGCCCCGGGCTGGCTGGGTGTGGAGCACGTGAGAGGGACTTGGCGAGGTCCACAGTCCGGCGTGACTGAGCACACACAATTCAATGCCATTTCTAAATGGACTGTTGTAATCTCAGAATCAAAGCTGTAATTAAAATTTGGAATGTTTTTTTTTTCCTTTGAAGTAAGGAGATTTATAAGAACAGTTGTTTTTAACTGAATTTTTAAAACTTCAACATAAAAGTTTGATCTATTGTATTATTGAGGTAGTTATTAGTAGTTCCACCCCATAAATCAAAATCTCTAACTATAATTTTAAAAATTTGCTTACTTTGATAAAATTAGTGAATTATAAATGCCAACAAAGATGTGTAAAAACATTACAAGTTTCTCTCATCTTGTCAAATCTGTAGGTCACTGTATATTTCAGTCAGTTTTGGATATCATTTAAGAAGTGCTTTTCATTGAATTGTTCATTCTTAGTTTCTTCAGGATGTATGTGCATAAGAGAAAAATAGGTTTTGGGGATTCTGGGGTCCTGACATCCCTTGCCAATTATGAATGTCATGTAAAAAAATTAATCCTTCACAGGTGAAATAGCCCAGTATTTGGTATGTGCTCGTAATTTAGCCTATGCTGAAAAGCCAAACTATCAAATGCTCAAGGAGATTCTGAACCCGGGTGGAAGACCTTCAGGACCACTGGAATTTTCTGCCGAAGGACAGAGTGTGAACGTCCCTACTCCAAACAACCACAAAGTGAGTGATGTTGTCCCTGGGGTCTTACGCTCGCCTTCCGTGGAGCATTCTTCCAAACGAGGGTGTTTTAGGTTCCAAATGAGTTTGACAACCCGGTTTCTTGGTTATTATATTTAATTCCTTTTCCCTTAACTCAGCTCCAAGAAATTCTGTTGAATGTTCTCTTGATTTTGACATACTATTTCTCACAGAAAAGTAGTAGGTGCCATGTTCTGTTGTGTACTGAGTGTTCAAGAAACGAAGCCATCGCTGATGTCAGAGAGGTCAGAGAGGGGACTAGGTCAGGGCTAATCTGACTTTACTCATGAAAGCCTTTATCTGCTGCTTTCCTTTAGATTTTTTTCCTCTTTTTTTGCATACCAATTTGGCCATAATTTGGTGATAACAATAATAATCTTGTATTTAAGCATATTATTTGTATGTGCTGATATTTCAATATACAAACGATTCTTTTTTAAATAGCTGTTTTTAAAGTTACATCTCCTTTACTCTGCTGTCTTCCAACTGACACCCTTACATCAAATTAAAAAGAAAAAGGAATTGGAACTTGAGAAAAGAATTAAACCTGAAACGATACAAAAGAATTAGCACAAAACATTTTTTAAGACAGTGGGGGAAACCTGTGACTGCTGTCGGCAGCATTACTAGACAGGCGACTAAATGTCCGTTTCTTCCTTGACACTATCCACATGCAAAAAAAAAAGTGGGTGCCTTTTTCTCCCCTCACGCGTGTGTAATAAGGTAGGGTCAGGATGCCATTCATTTTTAATATTTCTTGTGAACTTTGGATCATCGCAAGTGTTCATGAGCCAAGAATGCAGGATGCAAACTAATGTGACTGATTGGCTGCTAGATGAATGGTGAGTCAAGTATCAGTGCACAGATGGTTCTGATTTGCTGAATTTTGTAGCTGCTGCAACTGAAGACATAAAATATCCTTCTAGTCATAAATTAGCTCTTTGGAAGCAAAACCTTGACACCAGAGCTTTACAACCTTCAATTAGTAGGGAAAGAAGTATTTGAATGACTGTGGTATTGACATCTGTAGGCCTGCATAGTAATCATTCCTAATAGAAGAGAATATCTGTTTGAGGAGGTTTTGCATGGCTAATTAACTACCAGTGAGAATATGTAATTTTTTCATGATCTCCTGATTGTCACCTTTCTCTCATGATACAATTACATTTTATTGTAGCGAGTGCCTCACAAACCAATTGTCAGCACTATTTACTATTGCAGCAGGCAGAACAAAAGTTCATGTTTAATAAAAAGCCACTGGATTTTGATCTGGGTAATTACTGAGACTTATTTTAACAGTTTTATTGACTTTTGTGTTTTTATCACTTTGCAACAAAACAAAGAGCCATTTCCTTGACATAGTATTTCCCTTGCAATAATGGTCATCATTTAATCTACACTAATTTAGGTAGGTTTTTTTCCTTTTTTGTAGTTTTCCAGTTTCATAAACTTAATTGAAATATAAAAGAAGCCATTTTAAAAACCAATAGCTGTATCCTCTGATATAAAATTGTAATTATTCATCAGAATTTTCAGTTTCATCAAATTCAAAGGATGTTGTGAAACCATTACATATGCAGAGAATAGAACATAAAACAGTTTTTGCAATGAGCCTCAATCAAATATATTTCATTCTTTTGATTAGAACATTTCAATTATGAGTAAAAAGAAAACACTAAGAATGATATACATTCTTAAGACCTTAGTTAATTTCTGTTAACAATATGATCAGCCTCAGTATATAGAAAGGATGCTGGTTGGGGATATACTTCACAGCTTATCAATATTTATTGGGTAATGACTTTATTTCTCTAATATTTTAAGTACACAAATATATTTAATAATTATAGTATAAAATATAGGTTCACTATACATGGCTAAACTTCAGTATCTTTATTTTTAAAGTTCATAGATTTTGTGATACTGAAAAACCAAACTTGAGAATGTTCAGAAGCTAAGTATCACCATATGAACTGTCCTATACTCTGTCCCTTTGTGTGATAGAGTGTAAGATAGTTTCTACAATTGATCTTTTCAATAACAAATACAATTTTAAGTTCAAAATGAATATTAATCACCTGGCCCCAAACTTCTTTTTAGTCACAGAATCTCCTTCAAAACATCTCTTCTTATTACTCTGCACATGGATCACTCCAGTTATTTAACAGACTAGTGAATGAACTTTGGACTTGTACTTTTTAGACAAAGATGCTTAAAAAGAAGCCAGTTGACCAGAAAATGTATACAGTTCAATAAATAAAATGTTTCTGTCATTCAGTATTCAAAAGAAAGTTAGGAATGTTTTAATTTTTAAAAATGTTACTTCCCTCAGTACATAAGTGGTTGTGCATTTTAAATTTAGAATTCTTAAAAATGTTTTGCCTAGGTATGAGAAAACAGCTTATCACCATAGGAATCTCAGCAAATTTAGATCATGTTTTTGCAAAAGAAAAATGAGGTATCTTTTAACACTAGGTTTTACTCGGAATCATGCGCTGTTCCCTGTAAACTTCTTCCTAAAGTCCCCAAATACTGTGACTGGAGTGAAATTGGGAATACAATTTTGTCAAGGTAGTAGAGACGCTGATATTTTTTCCTGAAAAGCAAATCTTTGGGGGTATTCGCCTCAGCTGAAATGATGTTATGTGTAGCTGAAGTCCCTCTCTGATAGGTCTGACGGCTCCAGAGGCAGCACTGACAAGTTAGGAGAGTCTGTCATCAGGGCCGCCACAGTCTATTTATGCCACCCACTGGGATTTAATGTCCAAAATTCACTGAAGGAAGCCGTATTTCAGTAGAATGCTTACTGAGGTGAGCTACAGCTCTAGAATTCCCAGATGAGAATGCTAGGCGAATGGAAAAACCAGCATTGCTGAAGTTCCAATTCAACCCTGGAATAAGCAGTTTCTTCAAGAGCCAGTAGCAGATACTTTTATCAGTTTATCAATATCTCCTTCCTTAAGGCGATACCTGAATCCCTATGTTAATAGGATAGATACCTGGACTCGCTGAGGCACCTGTCTTTCCTAAATGCTTTCCCCAGGCAGAGGAGGAGGCCAGAGTTAACATGCTGGAGCTAACCCACAATTCAGACTGTAAAAGTTTGTCCCTACATTCACCCTAAATTGGAGGTTCCCATAGCAAATCTAGGGGTGAATATGTTATTACGGGTAGTAGTAACCTTTTTGCTGAACTTGCAAAATTCTTTCTTGAGCTTATTTCTCAAAGTAAACTTGTCCTCATGTTTATTTTATGTATGTGAGAAAAGTAGAATATAATTTCTCCATTATATGCACAATTTTGGCACATTAAATTTTAAGGGCCCAAAAATGTTCCTGTTTGTAAAACAGTGTACAGTAATGGTGGAAATTTAGGTAAAATGTACCTTGTTTGAATAGCCACTTTCTCAAAATGACACACATTTGGGTAGTATCCTTTTATTTGATTATGTGGGATGCCAAGTGTTATGTGTACTTTTTATGACTTTGAGAAAAATGTTTACTGTGTTCATGATTACAGGTTAAACTTAATCATTCCACTTCATTCTGACCATTTTAAAACTTTCCCTAGAAATTGAACTGTGGCATAAACTGGATGTCATTTTGTGGATTAGGTAGAGGTGCCTGTCTATGGCAGCACCGCTTGTCTCTGTGCCACCTGCCGGCAGGCGGAGCCTCGAGGAGCACTGATTCTGTTAGACCCTGTCTGCACAGCAGGGGCGCCCAGGGCAAAACCTGGGAGACCTAACATGCCTAGTGCAGAGGCAGCACCAAAAAACTCACTATCTCAACTGATCCTTTATGCCATAGGACATATTTTCACGGTGACTGGCAAGCCAGTGTTTTATTAGGATAAAACCGTGTGCAGCAGCCTTAGGAAACTCTTTCACACTAGTGGTATGATGAGCATTTATTGCCAAGACGGAAGAGTGGCTCAGGAGGTGGCTACTCATGAATTTTCCCAGTCATCTGTGGGGATTCAGTGGCGGAAACCAAGAATCCCTGAGTGATTAGGAAACAATTTCAGTTTTCAGGTTACGGCAAGGCTGTGGCTTCGCTGCCCTTTGGGAAGCTGGGATCTAGGAGGAGGAGTGCATAAAGAATGATGTTGTGACAACTCAGACCTAGCCACAAACAGTAGCCTATTTTAAAGGGAAGGGATGAACACACTTGGCAACAGAAGCTAAGATGGAGAGACTACAAATTAGGGCTCTGCTTGCCCAGATAATGAAATCCATTCAGTGTTGGCACTGGCTACTCCATCATTTCCCCTGTACCATTCCCATCTCCTGCCCCCTAGTTAACCCATGAAAAAAGGTGATGGCACTTGCAGCTGCTGTAAACAGGACGCCGTTGAACAGGTACTTCACATAAGGGTCTTCACTGGCTTTCCATCTTCTGACTGCATTGAGAGCTCTGCCCTTCTATTTCCCTGTCTACTTCAAGGTTATTGAGAGTCAGTCAGCCCCTAGGTTGCACCATGGTGTGAAAAAGAAACCTTAGAAGCAAGCTTGTTGTCAAACTTAACCTCTGACACTGGGACACACTATTAGATGACATGAACCGTTATTCATCTGTTTAAAGGTTAAATTACCTGTATAAAAAAACGGAAGCAACATCCTGACTTCCTCTTACACATTCACATTAATTAGGCTCACTTCAGTGATAAAAGTCTAAGATTCTAATTAATAAGAATTTAAACTAAAAGATATCCTGGATCCACTCCCAGCAAAGGTTAATAATAAATTCATGTGCAGTTTTAAAATGTGACAGTTTTCTGTAAAAATGCTGTTTTCAATAAGCAAGTTATCTGTAGAAATAGTTTTTAAAGAGTACACAACAGAGACACTAATTTTAATTGGTCTTGTCCTACTCATGAGAAAGGGTCACAGGATTTTGCCAACTACTGTATTTTTTCTATAACGTCCACTTGGTTTCCTCTCAATCTCTACCCTTTTTTCAAAGCTTGGCAAGTTTAACATTTTCAAGAATCTGGATGTGAATGCATTTTTTTTATGTGTCAGAAGTTTTCATTGTATGTTACTACTCACTCTATCAACATCAACAGGTTGATTCACAAAAGGCTGCAACAAAGCAAGTCAATCAGATGCAAAATAGGATTATAGAAAGAAATGCCCACAGTGAGAGAAGTGCGGAGTCCCACACAACATGGAGAGAAGTGCAAAAAGAGGAGCCGGTTGGATTGCTTACCAAGGACACGGCTCAGGTGAGAAAGTTTTTGTTTTGTATTGTTAACAATAGGCATGTGCTACAATAGCATATACCCTTTGGAAATGAAGTCGTTTTATTTTCTCCTGAGGGCCAAGGTTGTATATAGTTGTGTTAAATGAGAAGGGGTAGAAAATATCCTATCCGGCAGATAAAAACAAAGGAGCCAACTCCAGTAGTGATATAAACAGAATGGCGGCGAGCACATTTGCATACAGATGATTTCTTCCTTGAGCCTAAGAATGTAATGAAGTGCACTTAAATTTTTATGCCATCCATGATCCATTAGGGACTTAACATATTCCATACTTTAACACTGGTTCCTCCAGTCCAACCCTTATAATCAAATATGTGAGTGAAGTGTTGTTCTGTCAGTACAGTTGTATTTTTTTTACATCATTTGATCATTTGGTTGGATAGTGATTTGCCTTTAGTAGATGACTCACTCAGCCAATAGCAAGTCTTTCCTGATCTAACCTTTTTGATAAGAAGAGTACAATGTATTTATATCTGCGGAAAGGCCATTATTTTATATGATTTCTACACCGTCATTTTCCCAGAGTGGTTTGAGGTTTACAGTGGACAATAGAATAACTTAACGCCCTCACCTTCTACCTCCCATCCCCACTCCCAAATTGGTACATCAGGTAGCTGGGATATCAATCATTAAACTGAACACTGGAATTTTGCTCTGAACTTCTTGGCAGCCAAGGGAAAAATTTAGAAGCATACTTGTTAGGCGTATCTTGTCCAACCAGGAAGCATACAGGGAGTTTATCCAGGGAGAGATGCTTTTTCAGTACTAATAGGAATCTTTCCCATTTGTTCTGTTATAATAATAGTAGCATCAGTTTTAAAGTTGTAAAGGGATCTACTTCAAATGGTTGTATCTTACAGTTCCTATTTGGAAAATTAAAGACAAATACTGCTTGGTGACAGAAATAGAGATTCTTGAGTGCTCCTTTTCAGTCCTTCCTGTGCACCAGAATCACCTGTGTAGAGCAGTGGGGAGGGACTGTAAAAATACTGATGCCCAGGTCCCAAGCGAAGAAACTGATTCATTTCAATTAGGGTGGCAGTGTGATGTGTATAGATTTTTTAAAAGATTTATTCGTTTTTAGAGAGAGGGGAAGAGAAGAAGAGAAATATCACTGTGCGGTTGCCTCAGTTACTCTCCCATACTGGGGACCTGGTCCTCAACCAGGCACATGCCCTAACTGGGAATGGAACTGGCAACCCTTTGGTTTGCACCCCATGCTCAATCCACTGAGCTGCGCCAGCCAGGGCATAATGTGTGTAGATTTTATCACTGCAGAAAGTTGTTCCCATCCTCCATCAGTCCCTTTCCCACAGAGACAACCACTGTTTTGATGCTGTGATTCTCATCCCTAGATTTGTTTTGCCTCTTCTAGAATTTCACATACATGTAGCCATACGGTATGCACTCTTTTACACCTGGCTTCTCTCACTCCGTGAGTCTTACTGTTTCCTGTTGCATGTATTGGTAAGTTCTTTTTCTTGCAGAGTAGTACTCCACTGTATAATGATAACAATTCACATATCCATGCTGTCTTAATGGACACCTGGGCTACCCCTGGCTCTAGCCACCACAAAAAATAATTGGTATAAACATTCGGACACAAGTCCTTCTGTGGACATGTTCTGTTTCTCTCCAGAGGTGGATATGCTGAATTGGAGGGCAGATGCATACTCACTTTATAAAAAGCGGGCAAACGGTTCCCCTTCTATATTTCTACCAGAAATGTACAAGCGTTCCAGCCATTCCACGTCCTTCCCAACATTTGGTGTTGTCTTCTTCATTTTAGCATTCCAACATGTGTATATTAGTATCTCATGGTGATTCTAATGATCACTTACCTGATGACTAATAATTTTGAGCACCTTTTCATGTGCTAATTGCCATTCATATATCTTCCTTTGTGAAGTGTCTTTTCAAGAGTTTTAGTCCATTATTTTTATTTAGTTGACTGTCTTTTTAGTATTGAGTTGGAAGAATTCTTCATGTATTGGAGATATATAAAGCTATTGGACATATAGACCCCTGTCCAATAGCTGAATTGTGGATATCTTCCCCTTAGTGTGCAGCCTGCCCATTCATTTACTTAACAATGTCTTCAATGAGCAGAGGCTATTTGTTATTTTTATATGAATTCAATTAATCAGTTTTTCCTTTACAATTTTTTTTTCTGTAAAGAAAACCAAGAAACCTTTGTCTACTTCAAGGTCACAGTAATTTTGCTCCTTATAAAAGGTTTATTGTTTCAGCTTCCATGTTTGGGTCTATGAACCAACTCAAATCAGTGATTGTATGTGGCATGAGGTAGGGGTTGAGGTTCGTTCTTTTCCAAACAGAAAGCCAGTTGTCCCAGCACTGCTTCTTTAAAATTTTTCCTTTTCCTAATTAATATGTTGGAAGACTTTTTCAAAAGTCAGCTGACCATATTTATCAAGTAGGTAATATTTCTAATGTATTGAGCATTATTATAAATGGGGGCTGAATTGTGTTAAATGCTCTTACTGTATCAGTTAATATGATCATGGTTTGTTTGTTTTTTTTTTTCACTTTTATACTATTAACATGGTGGGTGACACTGATTAGTGTTTTTATGTTGAACTCATCTTACATTGCTCAAATCAACCTCACTTGGTAATGGTGTCTTGTTTTTATATGTTGTTGGATGCAGTGTGCTAGTATTTTTTAGGACTTTTGAATCTGTTCACTAGGAGTACTGATTTGCAGTTTTTATTTTTTTTGTCTTGGTCTAGTTTTGGTGTCAGGGTAATGCTGATGAGTTGAGAAGTTTTCCTTCTAATTTCTAGAAGAAAATTAGTAGCATTGGTGGTGTTTCTTTTTAACATGTGCTAGACAATTCTCAAGTGAGAGCATATAGGCCTGGAGCTTTCTTTTCCTTTTTAACTATGAATTAAGTTAATTTACTAAGACTGTTCAGATGATCTATTTCAAGAGTTGGCAAATTTTTCTGTAAAGAGCTAGATAGAAAATAGGTTTTATAGGTGGCACAGTCTTTGTCACAACTATTCAACTTTGCATTGTAGCCCAAAAGCATCTTAGTACAATATGTAAACAAATGAGTATAGCTGATTCCAACAAAACTTTATTTATGGCACTGAAATTTGAATTCCATATAATTTTCAAGTGTCACAAACTATTTTTTCTACCATTTAAAAATGTAAAAACTATGAACATTGTGGTGCATAGGTTCTTTGATATTGATGTTTTAGGATTCTTAGGATATAATCCCAGCAGTGGAATTGCTGGGTCAAAATAGCCAAGAGTTGGAAGCAACCTAGGTGCCCATCAGTAAATGAATGGATCCAAAAATTGTGGTACATATACACAATGGAATTCTATGCTGCAGAGAGAAAGAAGGAGCTACTACCATTTGCAACAACATGGATGGAACTGGAAAGCATTATGCTGAGTGAAATAGGCCAGGTGCTTAAAGACAAATACCATATGATCTCACCTTTAACAGGTAGCTAAACAACAAAACAAACAAGCAAGCAGAAGAAAAAAAAAGAAAAAAACAAAGATACTGAAATAGAGAACAAGGGGACAGTGACCAGAGGGGAGAAGGAAGGGAAGTTAAGGGGAAAAAGGGGGAGGGATTTGGAGGAACAAATAGGAAGGACACAGGGACGAGAACTAAGGGGGGTGGAAATGGGGAGGAGGTGGGGAGCAAGGGGCGGGGGAGGCTGGGATGGGAAAAATAGACAAAAAACTGTACTTGAAAAATAACTAAATAAAATTAAAAAAAAAATAAATAAAAATGTAAAAACTATTCTTAGTTGGTAGGTTCTAGAAAAACAGGTAGTGTGCCAGATTTGGCCTACTGACTAGTTTACCCTCCTAATCTAATTCATCTTGAGTTATTTTTGATAATTTATATTTTTTAAAGAATTGTTCCATTTCATCTTTGTCATATTTTTTGTTTAGAATTATTCGTAGTACTCCCTTATTTAAATCCTTTACTGTGGAATCTGTAGTAATATTTCTTTCTAGATGTTGATTGCATCTGTTTTCTCTTTTTTTTAGGTCAGGTTTATCAATTTTATTGGACTTTTTGCAGAACCAGCTTTTATTTGATTTTTCTCCCTCTTTGTCAATTGCATTGATTTCTATTCTTGGATTTATTCTCTCTTTTTTTATTTCCTTAGGATGGAAACTTAAGTCTCAATTATTGAATTAAGACTTTTCTTTTTTTCCCAATATAGGTATTTAGTATTACAGATTTTCCTTCTAACACTGTGTTAACCATGTCCCACATATTTTGATATATTTTCATTCAGTTCAATATATTTTTAAGTTCCTCTTGGGTCTGTCTCCCATCCAGAAGAATGTTTTTAAATTTTTAAGTGCTTGGAGATTCCCTTTTCATATCTTTCAGCTTGATTTTGGTTTATTTTTCCTTTTTCTAGTCTAGGTGGAACATTAAGCTGTTGATTTGAATCCTTCATTTTTTCTAATATAAGCATTTAATGCTATAAATGTCCTGCTAAGCCCCATTTTAAATGCATCCCATGAATCCTTATATATTGTATTTTTATTAGTTCAAGACATTTTGTACTTTCCCTTGAGACTTATTTTGTGATACCTTATTAGATATGTCTGTTATCTGTTATTGATCTCTAATTGATATTGTCTGAGGATATACCTTCATGTAATTTTGTTTTAAATTCGTAAGGTTTATTTTATGATCCAGGATAATTATCTATCTTGGTTAATGTTCCAATTGCAGTTGTAAAGAACATGTATTTCTCCCATATTGGGGTGCAGTACTCTATTATCACTCAGATCCCATTGGTTTGTGGTATCATTAATTTCTTTTATAGCCTTGCTGATTTTCTCTAGTTCTGATTACTAAGAGCAGGGTTTTTGAGTTGGGGGGAAGTGGGCTGCTGCCTCTTTGCTGTCATTTGCTGAATGCATAGCAGTAATGGCCAATAGGGTTTCTACCCACAGCGTTTGAAGGTTGATGTCTCTTTGCTGGTGTTTGCTTAACACAAAGTGGGCATGGTCAGTAGGACCCTACTGCAGTCTCCATAATGTCAGTGAGGCACAGGAGAGGCACAGTGCAGGGAAGGATAGTCTACAAGGCTCCGCCCTATATTCTCCATAGTACCTTGTGGGGAGGGCAGGGGCCACGTTTAGTAGTGTCAGCTGGGAATGACTGATATGGCTTTCATAATTTCCATTAACACCTGGGGAGATAGGATACTACCTTGTTAGTGTGGGGATGGTCTGCAGGGCTCCATTCTAGTTTCCTCAGTGCTTAGTGGGGACCACAGATTTGCTCCCCAGTTAGTACAGGGTAGTGAGACTTGGCAGGGCTCCACCCCACATTCCCCACAGCAGCTGGTGGGGACTGAAGAGGTCCAGCTTCTTGGTTTTCACCTAGAGCAAAGCAGTTAGTCAAAAGGCTTCTATTCTGCAAACCTGCCATTAGGATTTTTGGACCTCTTCTGTTTTGTGCATATTGTTTTCAGATTGCAGGCTGCTTTATGGTCCAGATGAACCAGAAAGAAGGGGATTAGGATGAAAGACTCATAGCTAGGTCATTCCTCACATCCTGAGGTCTTTATCCAGTAAGGCTTCTTTCTATTCTACAATTTTCAAAATGGTCTATATTAGTTGCTTTTTGTCTGGTCTTTAGTTATAATTAACAGGAGGAATAATTTAGAATGCTCTTAGTCTGTCTTGTCAATCATTACCCCTCACCTTCATTTTGAAAGCTTCAATGGGTATGGAATTTTTCATTCTGAACTTTAAAGATGTTGTTGCCCTGTCTTTGTGGATGTGTTTCCTTCTGATAATAAGTTAGCCATTATTCCTATCATTGCCTCTTTATATAATGCATCTCTATTCTGGCTGCTTTTAAGATTTGCTATTTTTTAAATCTTTGTTAGGGATGGATATCTCGTGTTTATTCTGCTTTGGGCTCATTGAGCTTCTTTTACCAATGGGTTGATATTTGTCATCACGTTAGAAAATGATTTATTTGATCTGTTTCCTGCCTTAACCCTTCTTAACTTCTCCTTCTGAGAGCTAAAGATATGCAGATTAGAATGTTTTACCTTATTTAACAGATACTAAAGCTCTGTTCATTTTTCAAATCAGTCTTTTATCTTGCTGTACGTTAGTTTGGATGTTTTTGCTGGGCCTCTCACCAGTTGTCAAATTAGCTGTTAAACCTAGCCAGTGAATTTTTCATGTCATATTCTCAGTTCTAGAAGTACATTATATTTTCGATGTCTTTGCTGAGTTCCTCATCTTTTCACTAATCATGTTTAACTTTTTCCTTTAAGTCCTTGAACATATTTATGTAAATATTTTATTGTTGTTGTTTGATAATAACTCTACCATGTGGGTCATACCTGAGTCTATTCCTAGTTTTTCCCTTGTACTTACGGGTCAAATTTTCCCGCCTCTTATGTGCAAAGTTTTATTGTATGTTGATCGTTCTGGGTACTAAGTTCTTGAGATTCCAGATTTTATTCGAGTGTTGAATTTTGTTCAAACAGGCAGTTAATTTATTGGTGGTTCAACTTGAACATGTCCTGACTTCTGTTTCTTATATAGGCTGATCTAAAGTAAATATCATCTTAAACTGTGGCCTTTCTAGGGTCTGGGTGGTTTTCCTTTCCTCAAAAATCACAGCCTTGTTTTCTATGCCTGATCAGTTGCTACATATGTATTTTGCTCATGGGTTTTCACAGCAGGAGGGGAAGTCTGATATCCATTACTCCTGGCCAGAACTAGAAAGGGTGCCCATTTTTTCATCGCTTCCTTACTGATTCTAATGTGTGTTCAAGGCTAATGATTGATCAGAATGTAGGGTTTCATATCATCACTACTGACATTTTGGACTGGGTTATTTGTTGTAAGGGGCTGTCTGTACATTGTAAGCCACAATCCCTAGCCTTTATTCAGTAGATGCCAACAGTACCTCTTCCCAGTTGTGACAACCCAAAATGTCAAGAACTTGCCAAAAGTCCCTGTGGGACAAAATTCTCCCAGACTGAGAACCACTGTTGTAACAGAAGAAATCATTGCATACCTTAAACCCATGCTCCTCAGAGCATGTTATGCCTGCCAGCTGTACCGGTATCACCTGGTGCTTCTTAGGAACACAGTACCTGAGATCTCATCTCAGACCTTTTGAATGAGATCTGCATCTTAACCAATGATTTTTCTTAAAGGGCCAGATAATACATACTTTTTGGCTTACAGTCCAGTCATTGTTAAAACAATTCAGCTCTGCTGTTGTAGCATAAAAGCAGCCACAGACAATACAGGAAAAATGGGTGTGGCTGTGTTCTAATAAGACTTTATGAGCCACACTTTTCTAATGTAGGCCACAGATTATTCCAACTGGATCTCTCAGTAAACTGAAGACAACTGGTGGTTAAAATATTTCATGAGTACTTGCCCATGTTGCTAAGAGAGATGTATAGGTTACACACGTTTGCCTTGCTATTTTGGTAGCTTGACTTCTTATCTAGGTGGGGCTGTCATCCACTTCCACATCTCAGTTATATACAGATGCTGCTTGAGTTAGCTTACCAGTGATTCTCAGCCTTCAGAAATATTTGACTTTAGGGCACATTTCTTTTTCTTTGTGGAAGAACAATATATTGATATTATTGACTCAGTGAAATGACTATTCACTTATTTTGCCTTTAGCAAATGAAGCTGATAAAACTTTAGGAAAACTGAGTTAGTGTGAATTTGCTAGAGTAGTTTAAAGTCAGTCATCCTCTTTGCCATACCACATGTTCCAGGTCACTTTGGCCACATTTCTTGACATTCTGTTAAATGCTTCTAGGCACACAGGTTTAACACTGTGAAACTTTAATTTATTGTATAGACTGTTTGTTTCCTTTTATGGTAGGAGAAGAGAGTGAGTATCTTTTCCTAGATCAATTTTCTGGACAAATTAGGATTTTAATCAGCTGTCTTCTTGAGTTCTGTTATCAGAAGATGCCACCTCCAAAGCCCAGGCAGGAGGCTGCAGTAGGCAGACTGCTAGCCAAGTCCACTCAGTGGGTACACAGCCGTGTTGCTTCCCAAAAAGCACTATTAGTTATTAGTAACCAAAAAGATTTCTAGTTATTACTGACACCCGTAAGATCACTTACTGGCTTACTAAATGGTTTAAAGGAACCAGTGTTAACCAGATTTGACTGTCTGGTACTGGTAAGTACTTTATAAACTCCTAAAATCCAGGATCTAAAAATAACTTCTCAGGTAAAATAAACACACAAAAACTGATTTAGCATTCTTAGAGTACACAAAATACATACTTGATAACTCAAATCTAGCACACACACTATAATATATATAATGTATGTATGTATATATTTTTCCACAGGAAAGCACAAGGAGAAGACAAAAATACTGTGAGTCTCAAGAATGTCTGAATGAAGTAAAAAGTCCTCCACAAAAAGATGGCTGTATGCAGTTCCCAAACTCATTTTATGAACCCCAGCAAGATTGTACCAGTCCAGATGTGTTCAACAAGTCAAGATGCCCACCTTGGTGCACACGCACTCATACAACTGGTACAGAAGTCACAGGCTTAAAGCGGTCCCCAGGATTCTCGTTTGCAATTTCCCAGTTTACCCTCAGTGAAGAGACAAAGGCAGATGTATATTATTATGGCATCACCATTCTTTTCCTTTTGATTGGCATTCTTATTTTGTATTTTCTTTGATGATAACAAACAAAACCCTTCTGGTAATTTTTAAAGTTTCAGTTCTTCACAGAAATGTTACATTCTTACATTTCAGGGCTTCCTCCCAGACATTTTCAAGGTAATTGGCTTAAAAATAAAGAGAGAATACATTTTAACAAAGTAAGTCTGAGAACATTCTTAAAAAACTACTTTATACTAAAAATGGTGTCATGATACAGTTTTTTGAAGTTTCAGATCACCCAGAAAATCTAAAACAGGAGTTATTTTAAAAAAGGAATTAACTATTTTTGATCAAAGGGTCAATCTGAAAATGCTATTTATAGGAACAACTTATCTTACAGAAACTTTTTTAATATATAAGTCTCAAAAAGTTTTAGATAAGCTGATATATAAATACTTCTAAAATATAAAACTAAAGGCTAAGGACATTTTATGAAATGTGACTAATTGCTTACCTTACTACAATATGGACATTCACCAAATAGGATGTTAAAGCTCTGTCTGCTAGTCTGTAGTCCTCTCAACCACTGAAGATTTTAAAGAGAAGTATTAGCATGATTACAAATACTCCAGAAATATTTTCCTTTCTTTTTGAGTGCGTTATTATATTTTTTATTCCAGAATATTTACCTTCTTAACTTTCTTTTGCAAGAGTAAGGGGAACATCTTCTGAGCAAATACCAGACCATTAATATGCTGAATAACAAGGGGAAACCAGCATGGATTTCCAGGTCTATCCACACTGGTGTATAACCAAATTACGGGCCCCTGTCAAACTTTGATGAAAATTATTCACCTTTTCTACCCTTGAGACACACAAAAATGATGCATACAGACTATGGGGTTCACAAACCTACCTAAATCTATTAACCACAAATTAAGAACTAGTACTATAAAAGATACCATAGGCTCTGGAAAATCTAGGTCTTACTTCTGGTGTTAATCACCAATAGTGGGGTAATTCTCAACCATTAATTAAAAGCATGAGGCAGTTAGTTTTAAAAATTAAATGATTATTCATTATTATAAAAAAGCACATGTTCCCTTAAGAGTATCTCTAGAATTAGAACTGATATTTTATGATTTTTATATAATTTAAACTGACATCTCTACCTCAATTCTCCCTTATTAAAATATAGAGAGCACCAACTACTATCTCTAATAATAAAAATCAGGTAGTGATACTAAGACTCAGAAAATTGAAAGCACCATATAAGGTGTTTTGTATATTGATGCACCTATAGTTTATCATGTTAGCTGTGCCCTAAGGTGAATGCTATAGAGAGTAAATGACTAGAAACAGGAATGGAAGCAGATTTCACATATAGTAAATAAAACATCACTGACTGAGACTGCTGTGAGATACTCAAATGTAGCCTGAAAAGTAACATGCTCCAGAGTGCATGAGTTCCCTTTCACTTATTGCCACCCCTCCTCCCAAGTGGATGAGTCCATAGTTTGTATGTGGTTACACGAAGTATTTACTAAAAGATTCTACTCTACCACCAATTTAATTTACGTATCAGCAGTAGTCCATAAATGTATTCTGGGTATGTTTCCCCCTTCTTGGTTACTTTAGGCCATTCTTCCCTCATGAGAAAACATGATGAAGAAAGGAAGCTCGTGGACATCTGAAATGAACTAATAATACAGGAACTAATGGCAAGAGAGATCATATTGAAAGAGATTTTACAGTCTATACATTTCAAATATGCATTCTTTCTCTGTTGTGTTAGCTGAAAAAAGTCTTGCTAATGTTATTTTTACTTTACCTCATACAAGCATATTTGATGGAAAGGCTGTCCACATTGGGGATTATCACATACTTGGTCAGGAATGGCACCATCCAGCTGAAAGGCATAACAGATTCCACAATCCATAGAAAAATCCTTCAAAAGAAAAATGTAAGAGTATGTGTTTAAAACATACAAAATGGAAAGCAAGAGAATTGAGTAATATGGTATAGACAGTATGAAACTTTTACACAATTTTTATGAAGGTAACTATCACTATTATGAAAATATTAATGCAGTCACATTACTATTTAACACTTTTTGTATGAGAGTGCTCCCTTTTTATCCAAGAAATTACATACATATATTAAAAAATTCTAGTTTTGCCTCACAATATGAGCTTAAGTTTCCTATATTTGTACATCAATATAATGCCATGGTAGTATGTAAAAACAGGAACTGATATTAGCTAGTGGTTACTAGCTTCAAAATTGTGTAACTAAAGCAAAAAGACAAAAACATGTACAACAGTTTAGTGGTCTAAAATTTAGCAGCTTTGTCCAAAATGAATTCTTTTTACTTGCAATGTAGTGGTATCTGATGAATTTTGAAAAACTGTACTACCATTCTTCACAAACACTTATATTTAGTGAATTAGAACTTCATTTCAGTCATCCAGAAGCAGATAATACAGAAAATTCAAACATTAGCTACTTTGGACCTATCCCCCTATTTTTAGTAATAAAGATGGGTGTTATTAAGTTAATTTACTATTACAAAGACCATGGGAAAAAGTACACTTATAACCACCAATCAAAGACTAACAAGTTCTTTGATGTAACTGTTGCTTATAGTTCAGAAAGCTATTCTTCCAGTTCCCTCACTTTCAGCCTCACTTTTCTCCGGTGCCTAAAAGAAGCACATTTAACTTTTACTATGCAATGCTGTTTGGAGTATCAAAGCACTGAAAAAACTTACAGATTTTTCCAGGATAGCACGAGCTGGAAAATCGATTTCTAAAACATCTTTCAAATTCTGTAACAGAGTATTTTCTGGATCCCTGAGAACATGAAAACAAATTTGTTATTAAATTTGTAAAATCACAGAAAAGTAACAATTCTATTGTAAAGATACCTACCACAAATGTATGTTTCTGCTCAGCTTAATTCCCAGGGGTTTCACCACTTCAAGTGTAAAAATAAAAAAAAAGTTCAATAATTTAGGGGTTTGCTGCTCTCATATTGTAAAACCATATTTAGCATAAAATTTGTTTCTGATTTAAACTTCGTTTTAGGTGTACAACATAATGATTTGGGATATGTGTATATTGTGAAGTGGATACCACAAGTTAAAATCCATCACCATACATGTACTGATTTTTTTCTTGTAATGAAAACTTTTAAGATCTTACAATAACTGTCAAATCCAGTATTGTTATCTATAGAATTTAACCGCTTGATTATAAAATAAATACTAAAAACACAGAAGTACACAGTTCAGAATGATGATACATTTAAGATAACTACCATTAATATTTTAGAATAATATATAGAATATTATTTTAATAGTAGTAGACAAGGATTTTATGATTCTGTTAAAACATTTAAATCTGAGATATCACACCATGGTCAGCTCCAAGGAAACAGCACTCAGGAAGCATAGTCGGATGCCTGGGGTCCACCTCTATATTTATTGAAGCATTATGCCCTAGAATGAAAGAATATTAAAGTTTTTAAAAGTAGAACAATTCATCAAATAAACCAAAAAATAAGGGAGTATCTGGTTGTGTACTTATTTCATTTTATACACAAGGAAAGAGTAGCCAAATGTTTTATTTTTTAAATATGTTTACTGACTTTTAGAGAGAGGAAAAAGGAGAGAGAAAGAAACGTCAATCAGTTGTTTTCTGTAAGGAAAGGAATCCCTCCCTAACCTTTTGGTGTAGGGGAAGATGCTCTAACCACTGAGTGACACTGGTGAGGGCCCAAATGTTTTACAAATTTTTATAAAGGTAAACATGTCACTATATTATAATTTCATTAAAAAAGTAAATTTTGAAATTATAATTGTGACTAAAGATTTGGGAACCCTTAGTTTCAAACAACAGAGTTAATCCATAAATTAGTAAATTAGATTAGAATCCTGGTCAGGATTCAAGGTTCATTGGAATGATAAAGATCTTCAATATAAAAAATCACAACTGGCACTGGCCAACGTGGCTTGTTGGCTGGGCGTCATCTGGTAAAGTGAAAGGTCCCTAGTTGATTATGGTCAGGGCACATGTCTGGGTTGAGGGCCAGATCCCCCGTTGAGGCTAGTGAGAAGCAACCAATTAGTGTTTCTCTCTCTCTCTCTCTCCCCCTCCCCAAAAATAAAATCTTTTTTAAAAAGTATTAAAAAAAATTTTTTTAATTACAGCTCAAATTTATCTAAACTACTTTTCATAACTCTCTTGTAAAGTAATAAAACTATGTTCAAATAATGTGTAAAGACTAGGAATACAATAAAAACAGTAAAAATAAACATGTTTGAGATTTGAGTTTTATGAAGTTTTATAAAAATACTTTCTGAATTCCTTTCCTCCATGTGAAGTTTTCCCCTGTAAGTTAAAGGATTCAATTCCTATTCAATTTGAACTACTTATTTAGTAAAAACAACTAAATCTTGGTTGCAGAATCTATGAAAAAGCAGTATCTACTTGTCACTCAATTCTTTTATAAATTTTAATTGTACTAGAGTACTGTATAAATTTCAGAAATTTTACTGCTTTTTTGAAAGTGCATAGTATAATGGTTTAAGGTCAATTTAAATTTCATGGTAAAAATGTCTTGAAAAAATCTACACACTGTAGTGTTATAAGCCTTTGGGTAAGGCTGGCAACAACCTGAATACAATTGCTACAGATCTGGCAAAAAAAAAAGAAATCAAGAAAAATAAGTGACTGTAAGTCATTCAAGGGAAAAACCAAAAATACAAAAACTTAATTTATAATCTCATTTGTTAATATTTTCTGTGCCATGAACACAAATTCCATATTAGCCTTTGGCAAAGTCATCAAATAACTCCAGAAAGTACTTTCAGTTAACTATGGCTATATTAACTCATCTCTTAATTAATGTGCTGAAAACTTGGTCTTAAAAAGCAATTCAATGCCTGGAAGGGGTAGGGGGACTAAAAGGTAAACATAGACAAGAGTAAATGAGGAAAACCCAGACTGTTTTTGCTGAACAATGAGAAATAAAAAGTATATTTAATCATAACCTGATAATAATTATTTTAATAGGG